ATATAGATGTACTATATAACATTAACTTCACTTATACATGTAACATTATATCATTTAATAATTGTACATTTATTAAGTATCAATTTTTTAAATTCTGATTTGTATGCTTTTAAAGGCATTATACGAGTAATCGAAATCTATATGTGATATAATATTTTTACTTTAGATGTGGCAAAATTGCAAGATAAAACGATTAAAAATTGACGCAATATAATACCTTAATATAATATTCTTATAATAGCTCTGTAAATACTCTGTTTTAAAAAACGCGATAAATTACGTTACATCAATATTTAAGACTCAGTACTGATGTATCAAACCATTACTTTGTTCCGACAACTGTTTAGCTTTGTTATACATATCTAGCTGAACGACAATTCCCTTTGTAGCATATTATATACTATCTCCGACTAAGGTAAATACGTATGGACTGGCTCAGAATTCTCTTTGGGGCCTGTTATCAGGTTTGATAATCTCATCCTTTATGTCGACAGAATTGTAACTAGCTATAGAATTCGTATGCACATATTCTATGGAATTGCATAAGATGTATGCACCTTACGAGTTATTATCAAATTAAATTAATCCACCTGATTTACTCATAGTAATTTGTAATTTGATGTTGTATTTTATTATCCTAAATCGGTTACAATGATAACCTTTTTCTACCTAGCAAAATTATCACGTAGAGAATGATTTTTATAGCGCAAATATATTTTATCATGTTTTTAATTATAATTTGCACTTGGAAACTTAAAATATATTAATTTGGTGCAAATTGTATACAATAATTTTATATATTTAATATAGTCAGTTAACAATTGTTGTATAGATTGAATTTAGCTGCCTGATACAGTTAGGCGGATACCTTATCACTTTACGATCAAATAGCTTTACTGATCAAAGGCTTGAACACTATATTGCTGAATTAGTTAACGTCGAGCCTCAAAGAGAGTTCAGAGTTCGCGGTCACGCCTAGTGTACCTTAGTACCGGACGGCTGGTCTTATCACGAAATACCTAGCTGGACCTCCGGATGCGACAAAAAGTGCACCTGTAAAACTAAGCAATACGCTTCATAGTATGTACCACAAAAAGTGTCATGCAAATCCCGAAATACTCGTAAAAGATTCGTGATTTAACCAATAATAAAATCTGCATATGTGACTACAAATCTACTTAAGCTCTACTGTTTTCTACGACAGTGAACTTAAAGCTGAATTCTTAAGAAATTCTTAGAATGTATTGTGTTTCGCATAATCGGGCATGCGTTATTAATCTTTTATGTGCGATCTTGCCGAAGATTAGAAACTCTGTTGCCAAAATTCCCTTTTAATCTGTGACACGTACAAAACGCAGGCGTGTTTCTCGTTACGAGTTTAAGACACACAATTCAGCTTCGACCTTACGGAGACCATTAGCGCTAAACACTCAGCCTCATCGACTTCCTAACAATGGTTTCGTTCCGAATCATCTACTATTGTGTGTCTACGGGCGCACAGAAAGCGGCTTTAACATGCAAAGTGTCTCAAACTTCTAAAGCGCCTTAAGCGTTTCGAGCACCTTAAAGCCAAGTACCAGAGAAAAAAAGTCAATCGCGTCTAGAGTATTATCCAGAATGGGGTAAACCCAGATTTGTTTGTTAGTTTGAAGCAACGAATACGTTTGTTAGATGTCCCTGTTTCACATCTGCGGCCTAAAATTGCTTGAACGCGTGTTACAATAGCTTTCTAAATATTCATGCATTACGACTGTCTTAAAATTTTTAAGAGATTGCATTGCTATAGAGTTTAATATACACTACCGCTCATAATTATTCAAACGATAAATATTTTACTTTACCCTGATATCTCATACTTTTGTTAACACAGATAACACTTGATTAGAATAATAAACTGTTTTTATACAATAGTGTATAAGTCGTAATTGTACGTATACTAAATTTAAATTATTAAAACAACATTTGAATTATCTCCAATTATCCAATTATCTTGAAAACATTATAGTATTTTTTAATTAATTAAAATCTGTATTTTCTAAACAAAGAGGACATATGGAAGAAGTTGTAAGAGGCATGGAATAAAATATCAATAAAAATAATGATGAAATTAGTTCGATAAATGCAAAAAGCTTGTATAATAATCAATGCAAAGAGTACGCATATTGATCAATATTATTTAAATAAGAATTAACAAATAATCTTTTTTAAATAAATGTTATTATATTATATTATGGACTTATCATAAAGCTTGTAGACTAAAATAGTTTTCATCGATAGATATTATTTTTTCTCGGATGTAATCTTCTATTTTTTCAAGTTCGAATAATTATGGACGGTAGTGTGTGCATATATAGTAGCCTCTTTGTGAAGTAAAGTAAAAAACCTTTAAACACTGTTAGGGTCGCAACGGCAAAGGTTCGATCTTCGTGTGGGCGTCCGGAAACGGCGGCCGGGACCACGATAACTGCAATTGTGACGGCTATACCAATAGTATCTGGACACTGTCGATCAGTAGTGCGACAGAGAACGGCCTTGTGCCCTGGTACAGCGAGGCGTGCTCGTCCACCCTCGCTACCACATACAGCTCGGGCTCTACGGGCGAGAAGCAGGTCGTCACTACGGATCTGCATCATCACTGTACCAGCAGCCACACTGGTACGTCCGCATCGGCGCCGTTAGCTGCCGGCATTTGCGCCCTCGCCCTGGAAGCGAACAGAGATCTCACCTGGAGGGATATGCAACACATCGTAGTCAGGACCGCCAAACCTGCGAACCTGCAGGCACCCGATTGGGTGGTCAACGGCGTCGGTAGAAACGGTGAGTAATAAGAAGAAAATTCTTGATAGAGAGAAAAAGATTTCCTAAAGAATAAACGTGTATAATCTTCATACGAACAAAATTATTTGTTACGTGTAGCGATAAAGACAGCTCAATCACAAAAATTTCAACCTTTACACAGATGCTAAGTGTACAATAATATATATTCAATTTCTTTTCTTTCGAATATTTCAATAAATTCGTTGGTGATTTAACATAGAAGAGCCTACGTAGAAAGAAAATTACTTCGAAAATAAATCCAAAGTTCTAATTTAGATGATAAAATTCATTGATAAAGAATGAGATGGAAAATCGTTTCATTATTGCCTTCCAATTTCTGTTTAACAGTGAGCCACAGCTTCGGTTACGGGCTGATGGACGCCACTGCCATGGTACGCTTAGCGAGAAAGTGGAGAACCGTCCCGGAGCAACACAGATGCGAAGTATCGGCGCCACATACCGGCAGGTAAGTGATCACGAGTTACAAGCTGGTAAATAAATAATAGGAATCTTGAAAGCCCTTTTTTATACGAAATATCGACACACGGAGGAAAACGTTCCATTATACAAAGTACCATCGGCTTTAAGAAAAATGCTCGAAGGTGAAGCAAATCGAGATTTGATTCGACCGTATAGATCGCTATCTGCCCCTTGGGGGAACGAACATGTCTCTCGCAGATTACAGATTCGTTCGGGCATGTCGGCTACCGTCAAGCGGGCTTTACTCGTCTGAAATTGCACTGGAAATCACGTGTAATGCGCCGTTTACATTGTCGAGGATTGTAACGAATGAGGACAAATCGCACGTTGTGTTGAACGAACATTTACATAACTTAAAATGTAATCATTTTGAAATTGTGCTCCTCTAAAGCCACTGAACACATAGAAGCCGTAGTCAAAATTTTATGTACACAATAATCCTGAAAAGTTTACTAATAAACGGATAATTGTAAATTATCAACGTGATTTAACACTTATTATTTTATCGCTTAAAAATGATATTTCCACAATTATTTTACCGTTCTGATAACGCTTATCAGTGTTTTATTTATTGTATATATTAATATACAATAACATTAAAAGAACTTTTATCTTATATTAATATAGTGGAAAATCCTCTATTATGAGATAGTAGGTTTCCAACGTCCAAATTCAATCACAAATCTTTTCTCATAACGATTACACGATCTAACAATAAATTTTCCACTAAATAAACCTCATATCAAGGACAATAAATTTATGGTGGAACAGTTGATGCCTATTAATTTTGCAGAAACATAAAGATTATAAAATAAGACAGTTATGTATAGTATATCAAGTTATAACTTGATATAAAAATATTACTGTTTAAAGTGCATTCGAGAAGTAGCACAGTTCGAAGGATATAAAAGTATTTAACAAATAATTCGCAATTGACCGAATTACTCGAGTGATGATTTAACGACAAAGGGGTTAAAAATACTCGCGAAAAATTGTATGTGCTTGACACTTGACCCAAATTTTGTCTACTTTCTAGGACGATACCGCCAAAGAGCCAATTGGTCCTCGACTTACATGTCAAGGAGTGCAGCGGTGTTAATTTCCTCGAGCATGTTCAGGTAAGTTGAGCATGTCATTCACAAGTGACATCGGCTAATTAGCGAATTTCGTGTCGGCTACGAGAAACACAAACTCCGACTGCATTTCAAGGACGAAATGTTTCGCCGGTTGGCGCTGAATTTTACAGAATTTTATTTACTTTTCGTCTGAGTAAACTAATTTGTTTGTCATCGTTTTACAGTGTCTATAGAAAACTAAGGCAAACTGTAACTCATGCTAAATAGTTATTTAATTCTCGCCAAATTAACTTAAAGTATATTAATGACTGCGTCTGCCGGCGAAATGTAATTACTAGATACGGTGCAGATCTCGTGTTAAAGAAACTAAATGAATTAAGTTAATTACTCTTATAGAATTATTAGTTACACGGCACAAAATTACCTCGTAAAATCTACGCCTGATTTATTCTCTCCTTTTTTAGACGATTAGCAGAGTTAAGTGTATATATAAAGTTATTAATCAAATATTGTGATACCAATCTTGAAAATTTGGGTCAAGTTTAGGTTTGTGTGCATAAAGATCTGTACAGCAAATCGTAAATGTTAATAAGAAGAAATACATACGATCGATGATAAAGACACAATGATGCGCTTGTCATAGGCGAAGGTATCGCTGATGGCAGTGAGACGAGGGGATCTTCAGATACAGTTAACGTCTCCTCAAGGTACGAAGAGCACTCTTCTCGCTAAAAGGCCGCACGATATTTCGAAGGCCGGTTTCAGCCAATGGCCATTCATGTCTGTGCACACGTGGGGAGAAAGGCCGCACGGTACCTGGAAATTAGAAATTCACAATGAGGGTCGATACCTCGGTAAGTCGATTACATCTTGTATTTCGCGTTATCGCATCGTCATTAAAGAATGCTTAATTAATAGTAACGAGCGACCTACGCAACATTAATTGGCGCAATAACAGAGATTATCTGTGTCTTTGATATGCCACGACTTTCATTGCTAGTAACTAATAACCAATTAAACTGAACTAATTGAAATAATAATTTTAATATATCGTTACAAATAATCTGCTCAATTGTCGAAGAGTTCTTTGGCTTGAAATAATTCTTTAAACAGATATTAATTAAAATTATTTGTAACATTAGAAAAACTGTGTTTACCGTCCTGACAAAATTATTTCAAGCTAAATAATTCTTTAAACAAATATTAATAAAAATTATTTATAACATTAGAAAAACCGTGTTCTCCATCCTGACATAATTTCTTTCACTAATATCAAAATTTAGAAGTTCTGTGATTTTCAAATTAGTTAGTTTTACACAATTTTTTACAGCAAGAAAATGATCTATTTACAACATCGAAATGTCAGATCACGATCTCCTTCTAGATAGAAAAGGATTAATTTGATTAATTAGTACTTTGCTGAAATGTAACTAATCAAATTAACTGATAAACATATGAACATTTTAATATTCTCTATTGTGTAAAATTCTCATTAAACTTTAAAAAAATTTTTTTTCTTTAAGGATTTCTTTCAATCGTAACATGTGGAACACATAGAATGCAATTATATGAAAATCGTTATGCGAAATCTTAGATTCAAACGTCAAAGACAAAACACTTTGTAGATTACGCCGGCATTAAAGTTTTTTCTTTAAGCATAGGATTTCTTTCAATTGTAATATGGAATACACAGAATGCAATGACATTCATATGAAAATCATTGTACGAAATCTTAGATTCACACGTCAAAGACAAAGCACTTTGTAGATTACGCCGGCATTAGCTCCTGCATTAATTTGATTAATTAGTACTTTGCTGAAATGTAACGAATCAAATTAACTGATAAATGTTTCAAGAACATTTTAATATTCTCAACTGTATAAAATTCTCGTTAAACTTCTTTTTAAGTTTTTTTTCTTTAAGGATAGGATTTCTTTCAATCGTAATATGGCACACACAGAATGCAGTGACATTCATATAAAGATCATTATGCGAAATCTTAGATTCAAACGTCAAAGACAAAGCACTTTGTAGATTACGCCGGCATTAGCTCCTGCATTCGGAGATGCCCTTCGGTTGATTTAAATTTCAAATAGAATTCTACCTTGTTCGCCGCAACAATAGTTCCCAAGCGCCTTAGTAGCGCCTTCATAAGGTCACGGTTACCAAGTTCCCCTGTCAGCTGCATCTCCCAGTCGAAAATGTCCGCAAGAAATTCGCTGACTTATCTATTTCTGGCTTACATCGAGAGAAATATCGTAGAAGAAATCTATCTCGATGCGCTACAATTATCCGTGATATTCTCGCGAGCTTCATTATACTCCTCGAACAATTGTAAGCCGTATGACAAAGGATTAACCGATTCATACGCGTGACATCCGGACGGAATGGCTTAGACATGTCTAGCATTGCATGCGCATCCTGCGATCCGATGCCGAGTTGGTGTTCAGCCCCGCGAGATCCTTCGAGATCCGCCGCATTCTCGTAGCCCCCTCCCGTCGGGGGCGCAGCCGAGAAAGCTCTTACATAAGACCCATTCGCGCGCGATCGCCTAAGAAGTTGCATTATCTCCGGAGGCGGATAATTGCCGGATTCTAGCTGCAGGGTCCTCCCGCAAGCCCACCTACTTATCCCTAACGGCAAATAGCAGCCGAGGCATTTCACCGTGCAGCGACGTATGCAGCCGATCTCGAGTAAGGTGCAAGCGTTAAAGCCACTTCGAACTGCTTCCGCGTCGGCTCATCAAGGCCGATGGCTACGTAAACTTCCTTATGCGCTTATGCACCGCCGACCTATATCGCTGTAGAGCGCATCCACATCCATTGTCGCGAATTTCCGGAAGGCGGGAGGGTCGTGGGGATATTCGAGACACTGTTAAACCATCTCAGTGTTAATGCTGCTACAAATATTCTGTGGATACGTCGCGTAGTCTCCGAATGCGACGTGCTTGCGCGTCGTCGAACAGGGACCTCTAAGAGGGATATCCTTGCTAATCCTCAAACGTTCCCGTTAATTTCCTTTAAGACGCCCACTGAGGATAACGCGTGTTACAGCTCTAGCGAACCACCGAGACACTTGGTGATAAATATCTGACCGGCGTTTAATCTTTTCACCCCGGATAATTTCCGATGGTACCACTTTACCGTGTACCACGTCATTTGACACGCCAGTAAACATCGCGTTATATTCCTGCCTCTCTTTAACCATCACGTCCGCTTTCTTTCCGCTGCATTCACGGACGCATACCGGATAAGGACGCGCCACTTTGCACGAGTGGGCGCTGATTTTCTACGGCACCGCGACGCTGCCCGACCGGACCGAATACGCCCTTTACAACCCGGCCGGCATGAGTATACCCAGACGACCGTTCGTCAAGCCGCGCGAGACCATCCCGAAGAGCCAAAACACCCTGACGAAGGGCAAGCAGACGCAGCACAAGTCCGACAAGTCCGGCAGCCTGAGCCCGCCCTACGTGGTGAACGCCCAGATTCAGTCCCAGAGGAAGGGCAAGGCTCGCGGTCAGCACAAGAACGGCAAGTCGGCTAATCGGCCGAATCCCAAGCCCACCGCTCAAACCCTTCGAGGTCTCACCGGAGTTAACAGAGGGCCTAGTAACGTGGCCGGTGACGTGCGTTTGATCACGTCGAGGCCACGTGGTAGAAGCACGCCCAGCCCTGTTACCACCAGCACCATGTCCCAGACCATCGCGACGACGAAGACCACGGCGACGAGCAAACAGATTATTACACAGAAGATTATCGACGTGGTCACCGCCTCGTCCCTTCAGAGGGGGCTGATCTTGTTGGAACCACCGGCAAAGGCGGCCACTAACAAGGTCCCAGCGGTATTTCAGCAATATCCCAAGATTCAACAGCTCTATCCGGTATACGGTGGAGCTCGCGGCGCCGGTCAACACGCCACGAGGGCTAAAGGACTCGACCTGCTGCAGGACGAGCAATTTGACCCGAGGAACCTGCAACTGGACAAGGGTATCTAAACGAATGAGAGACGGCGAGATGCGCCGGTTGTTTAATGGCGACAATCGGAAGCTATTATATTTGTGTGGTAATGTCATCGATGATCTTAACTGAATTATTAAATTAAATATTGAGTAACACGAGAGTCTTCGCGTGACTGTTTCCGTAATCAGTTAAGAAATCTCGGTCATTTTGTCATAACGTAAGTTCACACACACACGCACGATAATCAAATTAAAATAATTAAATGTCAGCGCATACATAATCGCAGTATATAATCTGCACCGCGGTTGATTGGATATGTCTACGAAAAAAATGTAGTGTCGCGCGCACAGATAATCGCGATGACTAATACGGCCAATCTATCTGCATCTATTGTTCTCGAACAGGCGGCATTTTATACCGCCGAGACAACAAAGAAGGTCGTTTCGCAGCTTCCGATCGTTTCCCATTCGCTTCCACGCATCCGCCCTGCACACCCACGCGAAGCGTGGAAAGTAGAGATGCATCGCGCGCAAAGCCCCGAAGATTAAACGGATCCGCTGGAATTTGGTTTTCGTATTTTCTCTTTTGTGTTAGCTGTTTCGCTGATTGCGACCACAACGTAATCACCGTTACTTTCGTTTGTACACAGATATATTATCCCTAGCTATTAATATGCAGCACTTTAAACAAGCTTACTTCGCATTATTCATGTTTCTTTTTATGTGAGTTTAGAATGTTTTTCACGTCGAGTGATCCTTACGTATCTTCTAGTAAGTATGATGGAACTTTTTCTCGCGTATCTTTCTCCTACTGTAATACTCTCTAATTAAAAGTGAAAGCTCTCAGTGTTTTCTGCAAAACTTTTGCTTGTGACATCCTTTGTCGGACGCTTTACACGAAATATCTCATACAGGATACTTCGTATAATACCTTTAGCTTTTGTAGCTAGATGGATTTAAAAAATCCGCCGTAAGCGAAATTTCGTTAAGTAAATTATACATTTGCATGATTGGTGTGCACGAATAGAAAGTTATACAAATGTCTCCCTTAGTCTAAACAAGTTTTACTTAATGTTTTTCACGCATCGATGAAAGAATCGCCAAGTTTCTTTATTGTAAAATTATTTAAGAGGATTTGGATGTATTATATATTTATGCAAGTTTCTAAAATATCTCTCTTCTTCGACTGTAAGCTGTTCGCCATCGAACTCGTATCCGTCAAACTTCCGGAAAGTTTCCTCTCAAGTATAAGTAGTACACTTAAATATTTTGCATAGTTTCGTCGCTCTTTATGTCAAACGGCGGGTTTTTCGTCATGTTGACGCTTCCTGCGTCGCTTCTTCCTGTTGTTACAATCGAAGCCTCTTGCGTGAACGGCAGGCCGATAATAGGAAAACTTATCGAGGCCGGTAACGCGCGCTATGGCCTTCAATCAAAACTTTCAATGACTTGGTTATCGATGAGTCTCACATACCTGTAGCCTCGAACGCATCTGTATGCGTCGGCTATCTTAATGTATTGCCAACATGTATCGCCTTGTATCCTATTATCCTCATACACGGGACGCAGACCATTGTCTGGTTACACGAGAAAATTGTACATTCCACATCTCGTCTCTCGTCTAAAACACGAGCTAAATGTTATTGTGCCCTTAGATATTTCACTTATCATTTGTATCCTTCGATTTGTAATTTTTAAATGATAGCTTGGAAAGATACGATAACATATTTAAGGAAATTGACATTCTCTACATACAGATAATATTTTATCTTTTCCATTTAATTCATTTTGTATGTTTTAACCATCTGGCGTCATAATTTGAAAGCGATTTTCTTCAAAGCAGCAACGATTCCGCGCGAATCCGTAAATCTCGCGCAAATGATGTTCATGATTGCGCGTTGCGCTTGTTATCTCCTTTCCGAATTCTCGAATTCTAGATCACCGCGTAACCGCAAATCACTCAAAATTCACAGTGAAACGCGACGACGCGAACGGTACTGAAAACCGCTAATGCGTGCCGTGAAATGGAAAAGCCGACGAGAGCGAAACGAACCCCATCACAGTGGAGACCGGGCGGCTCCTCTCGTCCATCATCGCTGCTAAATAATTTCCGCCATGATTGGAAATTTTTTCGCTCGCTTACCCCGCAAATGGTTCCCGCTCTTAAGGCATTATTATCGAGGTTCGCTCCTCCAATAGCGCGCGCTAACGACCCATCGAGCACAATGCCCTCACGTTCCCATTGTCTTATGAATAGCCACGTTGTCCCGATCGATTTTTGACATTTTTACCACCCCTCCCACCCCCTCTTGCATCTCGTCCTCCCGCTCATTTCCCTCGACCGTCGGCTCGCATGTTATTTTCTCGATACCTTCGGTGAAACAAATTGTTCGAGCATCGCGACGCCTGTCGCTTTACAGTCACCTTGCGCACTCGTAACAGCAACGTTTTAACGATGACTTTATTACAGCTGGCAACCGGCAGTTTACGGATGCCGACCGAAAAAGCACACGCGAGAGTAGTCCCGTCACGACAAATTGGATCCGCTTTTCCACCGCTTTGATTTCTGGTCTCCCGTCACTACTCTCCACCTGTGAAATTTAGCTTGTCCCATGAGAGTGATTTCATCCGAAGCTGTTATATATATATATATATATATTTTAACTGTTCTGCTCTGTAAACGTGACACGGCTTCATATTAACGTCTAGGCAAATTAATTCATTTCTTTGAAGAACGAACGCTTCATCGTAAACGGATATAGCGCAATATTTCGAGCGACGTTAAAATTAAAATCTACTCTCTAAAAGACAGTCAGTGGATTATCACTGATGCGATTTTCAGTGGTATACTTATAACTGCAGATCAACGACTGTTCACTGTTTTCAGTGATAATTCATTGATTGATTTTTAGAGAGTGCGTTTATCGCTGATAATAAAGCGCAGTGTTTTTATTCTTTAAATACATTTTTTGATTAATATGCAAATCTTCATTATTACGGCATGGTTTAAACCAGTGGTTGAGTATCAAATAATCTCCCGAGCTCTTAATGGCTGGCTGAGAAGACATGATATCTCAAATTAGCTTCCATTTAGCTAGCTTTTCCGTCTTGCCCGCAGCGCAAGGAAAACTTGCAGATGTATCTTACCTGGGGTAAAAACGATAATCGCCCACGAGGTTTTTACCATTCTCTCGTTGCAAAGCACTTTGCATTTAATTCCGACGTACACATTTCGCTGAGTAAATGTGCGCGAAGAGTCGTCGCTGATTACTCGGTTATTTTTAACTCTAATTTAATCAAGACTCGACCTCCCCTTCCCCCGCGCGCCCGCGCGCTTCCCTCTCCATCGCGAACATTGTTCCCGCGAGCGAGCTTAGGACGAAATTTTCCCCACGGCATCCGCGACGCTTTATTAATTTCCCGGACGGCGCCGTCGACGTCACCGCCACCCCCGTTCGCTGTCTCGCTCGCGTCTCGTCTACCTCCTGAAACCTTCCATTTTACCGCCTTCGCCTATCCGCGAAGTACAATGTCTTGCGTTATATTTGCGGGCAAGGTCGCGGAATAATTTGCGGGAAAGTGAAAAGCACGTTCGATAAACGGATGAAAAATATAAAATGCGGATATAATAAATCCGATGATTAGGACTTTACTGTCCTGCGACCAATTATTAGTAGAGGAAAGTCCTCTATTATGAGATAGGATTCTAATATGAGACAGCAGGCTTTCAGCAGCAGGCAATAAATTCATGATGGAATCAACAGACGATGCCTATTAATTTAACGAAAACTCCGCTATCTCATATCAGAAGCCTATCTCATAATAAGGAACTTTACGAATGTTACGCAAAATTTGCGCCACGTTTGAATGCACACTTTTGGCGTAATATTATACGTACGCTATGGATATGTTTATATTATTCCGAGATTTGAACTCCATTCTGTCAGAGCCTTGCCCATAAAAATGGTGCCGCGAGGTTTGCAAGCTTACGTTTCTATTCTCAGGAATCCACGGTACGTATATCATGTGAAATCTACTTGAGTGGATTGCAATCGTGTCTGCATGTGTGTTTTTAATATAAAGAAAACAGTAGGTAGTTATTATTGCGTAATTGCCACAGGACAAATACGTTGCTTTCAGTCCGTTCCTTGCTTAAAAAACGGCGATAAAATTGTGGCACGCCTGCATCTTCTTATATTTTGTTTCGGTACACGTAAGGGCCTGAGCAGAATGGCTGTCTTGCACTCTTAAGACATAAGACAGTTATTGTGCGTTACCTCAAGACAAAGACTTAAAACATAAAACATTGTCTTAAGGCTGTCTTAAGAGTATAAGACAGCCATTCTGCTCAGGCCCTAACGCATTCAAGATTATAATTATTTCGGCCCGATTTTTCATTTTCTGGTTAACTGTTAACCAGAGACCGATCGCCTCTCCATCTTTTTCCGTATTACTATCAAAGAAGAGACAGAGAATCGACTGACTTCTGGTTAGCAGTTAGTCAGAAAATGAAAAACCGAGCCTCAGAGTACTAGAATACTAGAGACAGAAGAATCTTGAGATATTAAATAGAAGGAGGAATGCGATGCAGAGAAAGAAGAATTTTACAGAAGAATAGTTTCAGCATTACAAGTTTCGACAATCATTTCAATTTTCCTTCCCTTTTACTTTCACAGATGCTACATTCTTTCCTGCAACTTGTTTTCTGTCTCTAATACCTTTCAAGATCTATGTGAATCGCTTTTCGCAAAGTACTTGGCACCGTCACTGAATATGAAACAGCCATTAGCTTTCGCTCGAGTCGCGCTAATGTAGCTGGGTGGCGTTGTTTCAGACACGCTGGATGAGTGGAAGCTTGTGTTCTTTGGCACGGACACATCCGTGGAGGTGGACGACGAGCTGGACAAGGACAAGCCATTGCCGCCTGTGATCCACGAGGAGGTGAACAACGCGCCTTCGGACGAACGGCACAACGCCGTGGACACCGAGGGCGATCCGTGGACGGGTAGCCGGCAGATGGACCGAGTTTCACACCCGGAAGTGCAGAGGCCAACGACGGAGAACCAGACGAGCGGTTGCGCCGCCTTCGAAGCCGGGGGCAGCGGGTGCCTAGGTGGGTGCCTCATACTACTCCTTCTAGCCTATCTGACCAGCGTGCCCGGCTGGCGGGAGTTGATCACCAGCTGGCCTGCCTCGACGAACAGTCGGAGCGAGTTGGGCACGGAGGCAAATCGGCCGCTGATCGCGGTAGCGAGTGTCGTCCCAACGGCGACGGCGACGTCGTGGCTGGGCGACGCGACGACGCAACACGTCCCGGCGGCGATACCACGTGCGCCGGAGGCGTGCGGGTGTACATGATGACAGCGGATCGCGTTTGGTCCCGCGACGTTTCGCAGCCAGATCCTGTGACTCCGAGTCACCGGGATGCTTGACGCGAGTTGGCCGCGTGGATCTCGACGACGTGTGCCTGACGCGCTCTTGTGATCCGTGAAATTTTTATGCACTTGTGACGGAGAGGTGTCGCGCGTAGAAACCGGAAGGGGGGGAAGGGAACGAAGAGGAGGACTCGTGCCTCCTTTCCCGGTGCTAATTGTCTCGAGAAGAGATCCGAAGGACACTGCCAATGCCGGATTCTCGTGTGTCCTCCTCTTCTTGAGAAAGAAACGAATGATGTGTGTTGAACGATGGACACATCGAGTCTGGGGACTTGGTGGCTCCGTTAGAGCGTTCCTCGTGATCAGGGAAATGCGAGTTTCTCGCTAACACACGTTAGAGCTGGTTCTGGCCTAATTCGTTTGTGCCGTGTAAGGAAGTGAGTCTCTCGTAATCGACACGAAACGTCCGGACGCTTGCGCCATACACTCTATTCGCGAGGGGTGGCTTCGACTGATCGACGTTCGTCGCGACGAGGATGGGACGGGAACTAGATGGTTACGAGGTTGGAAATGCACGGTTCTGTTACCGATTGCACGATGGACTCTCGATTTCCCGTTGAAAGCGCTCATTTCTGGAGGAATTCGACACAAAGACATTCTATTTGGGCTATCGAATTATGTCCCTCCTTTTCTCACCATCGATTTTTTCATATTAAAAAAAATAGATAAGTTGTGTTTTAGAAGAAACTTTAACGGAACTGTATATGAGAAGTTTGCCAGGGAAGCTCGTGTAAGTTCTGCAAAATTGTTAACATTAAATCTCGGGGGAAATTCATTGCAAATTTCTTAATAGACATGAGAAGACGTGATTTTTTTTGCACGTTGCACGACCTGCTAGCGTCGTTTCTTACGCTAAAGTAATGTTCATCCCTAAAGTAATGCGAAGTAAATTTTCCTGGTAGCGGAAGAAGTAAAGTGAAAAATAAATGCATTACAATGCAGAACTAGTAGATGAAAATTTAATATTTAATATCGTGACACGTGAAAATCGAGAGTTCGTCACTTTTCCAAACCTTCCTGTCTCCACACGACTGCTGCAGTTACGCCCGTAATTCTATGGATGTGCTTGTAAATACATATATGCAAAGCGTATTTATTATACCTCGCAAAGTTACGTACGATCTTGGGAGTTTTAAGAGTAATGGCACTGCGATCCCGTGGCATCCTCTTCCGCCACGTTGAACGAAGCAGAAATGGGTAAACAACCAATGCTTTGATAAATTCTGGAATTTTGCTTGACTTTTGCGCGAAAGCCGTCGCAAGGCCGTCATAATGAACCTTAAATCCATTTACGCCATATTTTTAACTGACGCCGTATTTAACGAAGACGAACCAGCTGAGTTGGCGCTTCATTTAACTGATACATAGAAATCGTATTTAACATATTCATATAAAATTAAATATTCTGAGCGTTAAAGGTGCGCCCTCGGTAAGAACTCAGCTATTCTATATCTTTTTAATTCTACCATGATTTATGCGTCGCGCATCAGTTAAACTTCCTTCCAGAGACCAATCCTATCTCGAGGTTTTGCTTCCTTCAAAGAGTCAAAGAAATATTTAAGCGATCGAATGTAGCACGATTGTGCCCAATTCTGCTTAAACGGTTCAGTCGAGGCCCGCCGTACGTGGCAGCGTCCCATATTCACATGTGTAATTTTCCACGTGAACTTTTTGTACGAGACAAAAATATAAAGGGGAGCCAACTGCCATTAGCGAGACCTGACTCGTCCGGTCTCGCGCCCTGTCTCTCCTGGAAAAATTGCCTCGCGTAACTTAGAGTACATCCGATGGAGCGCTGCAGTTTACTTCGGAACTTCGTCACGTCGTCGATTTTGATCGACGAATTTTGGCTCCAACGTGTTCCAGGGGGGGAAGGGAGGGAACAGTTTTTCTCTCGCCTTCTTTTTCTTCTTTTCCTCGGCCCTATCTCTATCTCTCTTTCTCTTCTCCTCCCTCCCCTTCCTGCCTCTGTCTCTCTTTCTCTCTCTTTCGTTCATTCGCTCGCTCGCACAAACACACCATCTTTTTCTTCCCCTCTGTCCCCTTTTCTCTCTTTCTTTATCTCCTCTCATCTATCGGTCAGCACCCCTTTTGTTTTCCAGCGTCCTTAACATTCCCCTGTCTGCCAGCTTTCTCTTACATTCTTGTCTCTCTGAACCTTTCTCCACGCTTCATAAGCACTCTGCGTCCCTCCAAGGAGATAGGATATTCGGTGAGCTATCAGCACTGCCGAAAACTAGAGGCTATAGGGAGGTTCTCCGGCTGCCTATGTAAACAGTTGGGGATGGGGTACATGAAGCTGCGTGTGGATTTTGGATGCACGTTGAGGCTCAGGCTTTATTAAGACCAACGACGATGACCGGATACTCGCAATTTATTTTGGCGAATAATATCGCTTCTAAATTCGCTTCTCCTTGTTAACGAGATAATGTGAACGTTATATATTATTTCGTTGCAAATGCGTAAGTTTCATTATTCTTAATGTAAAATGCACACATTTTTGTGAAAATATTTTGATAGTGATTCATGATGAAGAACATATTAATTACTACGTTAAAATATATTAAATATGCAAATATATGCATGTTGTATACGAAAATTGAACTTCACACGCTTTTAATATTTTTTTGAAAGAAAAGAAATCGAGTATCGTTCGTACATTCATAATTCACATTCGGCCTCGAAAGTACAGTACATATATCAAATTTTCGACACGAAACTTGCTCAAAACGTTGTTAACTATGATAATTAAAAACCGCGTGGTCCGCAGGTGTTTGTAAGTAATTAATACCCACAACGTGCTTAGCCAATTCGACGGCGATAAGAACGTCGCGCCGCTAAACGACTCGATATTTTCTGAACAATTTTTAGACACCATCGTTTTGCTTGGAATATCGATAAAAACCGGCGGATACTATTCTATTGCGAGCTTAGAAGTGATCGCGCGCGTGCTTTGTAGAAATTTCGATTGCGGGGATAAGCAGTAAACTCGACGAGAAAGCCGAAGCTTCGCGGCGAGTTGACGGGGCGATTTTTCTTTATCGGGGAACGATCGTCAACGAGTTATCGAGTCGGAAGTTTTCACCATCGAGAATCCGCCACTGCGAAAATTCGTTTCTAGGATTTACGATTTATATCAACGCGGAGAATCCAATCATGTTCCGTCGAAAGTTGTAGGCCACAAATCAGAAGTTAACTGTGCACGACAAGCCAGGAATCGAATTACAATCGATATATTGTTACTTCTGCTTGAATAATACATGCCGATTATATAAGTAAAACACGAACAATTTGAAAGATACTTACAAAATCGTCGGTTAAGAAACCAATGCATTATCTACGGATTTCGTTGAACTCGTTGGTCGAAAATCATACATAATGCAGCTCAATCAAATTATTCAATAACTTATCATTATCAGTTTTTTTTTCTATAAGCTTTTAAACATACGAATGAATTCAATTAACATTTGACAAAAGTCATAAATAGCTACTGGATCGACGTCCCTCCGTACTTTTATGGCGTATCAATAGATGCTCCAGAAACCGATGCGCCAAAAGGCTGAATAATCGTACGAAAAAGGGAATATTGAATAGTTGCGAAATTAAATTGACGTTACAGTCGCGATAGTAAACGTCTCTTTCCGAGCGGCGTTCTGCGAATGAAACGTTTGTGATTTTTCGAGATGTACTGATGCTCTAATGGATGGCTATCGAATGCAATTGCGAGGAAAAAAAAATATATGCTCGAACGTATTAATCCCTGGATCGGATGAGACTATCTCGGTCAAGAGACGTAAAAATCGGTCAAGTGCCTCTACATCGAATACACTCAACTCCGAAATTAGTGCTCGACGTACAAATTTATATGGCATTAATATACTGAATAAAAAAGATAAAATAATACATTTTATTATTTTACTTGTGTACGTTCAAGTTATATATAAAACTTTAAAAATATTTTTTTTATTCGAGGATTTAGTAACATAAAAATACATTTTATTTTTATTGTAATTGAATAAGTAAGAATATATTGTGTTCACAAGCTTGAAGAAAAAATTAATGCCATTTTCTTCTATTTCATGCTATTCGTTTAAAATTAATTTGAGACTTGTTAAACTTTCTGTAATTTAAAAATACGCTATCGTGTGTCACACATATTAAAATATTTGACCTATTTTTGTGTTGTTCAATCTAAATATTTTAACTTTTTCTTATCAAACGTTTGTCCATGGCGTAAAAGTAAAGCGAAATTCTGACATTAGATATATGGAAAGAAAAGTCGCGACTCCAAAGCTGCTGGGTAAGAAAGAATATCGGACCGAGTACTTCGAAATCAGGTTACATTAGCAACTAAATTCTCTTTCCTTACAAAACGTAACATGCATCAATCGCGAATTCTGTGGTACCGTATTTCTCGATGGACGGATAGAAAAGATATTTAATATTCCACCTCCGTCGATATTGAAAAAGGCAAACCCGAGTAGAATCAATTTTTTTTCTTTTATCTCTTTTTGATAGCTGTTATACGGTTAAAGAAATTCAAATTTTATAGTGGAAAAATGAAAGGTCGTGTTTACTGTCAATGCAATTTCTAGGAATTCTCTTTTTATATCTTATGGAATTGCTTTCGACTCCTTGCATGCACGCGGGTGTAGGAGAAATTCGAAATTTGCATAGA